TTAGCACCTAAGCTACCACGGCTTCTAAATTAATCAACATAATACCACAAAACTAAATAATCCTGGTAGGACTCACTTTTGCCCAGGAGACTATTTGGGTAAGTATCACTTTTACTTATTTTTGCCGCCAAGCAACAGTATGTGCACTGCACTGGTAGGGTATATACAAAATTTGGCCTCCTCGAAGTTGGAAAAACTTTAATAATCAAAGTTTGTTTAAAAAAATATTAATAAGTTCAACAATCATTTATCTTTGTGACAATGTACTTTTTAAATCATTTCTATGTTCAATATGATTGTTAGATACCATTTTATGCGACAAAACGTTGGAATCTTGATTTTTAGGCGCTAGTAGAACATACCTACGCGCGTTGCGCTTACGGCATGCAAAAAGATTATAATAATATGGATGTGGTAATAACCCGTGGGAAAGAGGTGATTGCTGCCAAGCTATTTCTAATTTGTTTTGTATGGTTAATTGTGTAACATACATTTATATAGATTGTAAGCTGTTATTTTTTTGTTAAAAAAAAGGTCCGCTGGGTTTCTATCTGTTTCTTCCCAGGACAGAGGTTTTTTTTCCGAACCAGCAGGGCTATCATGGGCAGGAGACAATCTTATTTCTAGGGAAAGGAGAAAATGTTTGTCCCCTCTCTTAGTTTTATCCAGCCTTCGAGCAACGAGCATATGGGCACACCGGTGGATATATGTAATATCCACAGTAAATAAAATGGGAGATAGATAGATTTTTGTATGAATATAAACTTAAACCCAAGACCAATGAAGTAGGATTAAACTGTCCCTTTCAAATGTCAAATTTTATCTTTCATTTGGTTCCATGCTACGAACGGGGATTATATGTCTACCTACTCGTTATGCCAACCAGGGATATACTTCTCCACGTTGCCGTGCTTTGGCATATGGACGAGATAATTTTATCTCTTGTCAGGGGATATAATCGGGTGATACATTTTTTGTCCCCAGCCTATGCTAGCCGTGCTGTGGTAAATAAAAAAAGAGTGATTATCAATAAGTATTATTTATAATTTAATATATTGAATAAAAAAGTTCGTTTCTGTTGCGAGAATGGGTCGGCTCGACCGGGGAAGGACCACGCTCTCACAGAATACCAGCCTAAAATAGCAGCCCAATGCTGCTGTTTATCGTACGGTGAGTGTAGAGAACCGGAGATACTGGAAACGAGGCATTCCATCTTAGTCCTCAAGGGCGACAACGCATCTACATTTTGATTCTTAATCAAGGATATGTGTAGAGGTCTATGGGCTACAATATCGACACACCATCAGGTGGACTGTCTACTCGTTTGTCGCTCTTAATCTATAAATAAAAACGGGCCATGTGCGAGTCGGATTCGCGCACCGAGGGTTCCGAACAAATCTGTAGGTATATAAGTTTAAAATTATTAAAAATATTTTTATTATATGATGTAACTAAAAATTTATGCTTTTCGCAATTTTTCCTTTATCTGTGCTATAATACGTTGCTTTATACCAAATTTTAAGATTCTGAGGTTTTGATTCCCTTGCGAATGTCGAAAAGTTGCGGCATAAACGGCTGTATCTTTTGATTGCGTTGGCTTAGAAGTTTGATTTTTTCACAGCTCCAAGGGACAGTAGACTTGAGTATTTGATATGAATTTCAGCTTGATACCTCCACGCGTTCCTGAGAAAAAGCGTCTTGACAGACAGACAGACGGACAACAAAGTGATCCTATAAGGGTTCCGTTTTTTCGTTTTGAGGTACGGAACCCTAAAAATGCAGGAAGTCGATGGATGCTGGTGGAACAGAATCCTATGTTCAGCAGTGAACTTGTGATGGGTTTGTAGTATTGACATGATATTACTTCCAATGTTGTATAAAAGGGTGAAATAAAACATGAAATAGTTAATTTTTTTTATTACGGTTTATTAGTTATACAGATAATAAAATTTTGATGAATATTTTAGTACTTACGTAAATAATACCTTCAATATCACTACGGTACGGTATGTATAGTTATTAAACTATATCTCTCTTTAAACTGTGCCTATATCTTACACCTCTTTCTTTATTAAACCACTGTACGGATTATTACAGACTAGCTGTTCGCCGCGACTTCTCCCGCTTTAAATTTATTACGATTGGATTTAATGGCTTTTTATTATTTTGCGCGGAACCCTAATTATTTTTCTAAAATAAAAGTTGCCTAAATTAAACAAGCTATCTGCTAGTGAAAGTTTCGACAAAATCGGTCCAACCGTTTCGGAGATTAGCACGAACAAACAGCCAAACAGACAGACACACTTAAATTTTAATTTTTTTTTGTTTCAAGTATTGTATATACTTTCAAATGCATTTAGTAGAAAACTGTTATTTTGACATTACAAACAGACAGTTCAATTTTATTAACCTATATATCTTGCTCTTCTTCCTTTATTTACCCACTGTTGGGTTCAGAACTTCTTGAAATAACTCCCAGCTTTGGCAGACGGGTTAATTAAGCGCAAAGCAAATACCCCAGGTCAGCGACACCCAGTTCCCCACTAATTCTGACTTCAAGCAACTATTCACTACGACTGCGTTCCAGTGACCCAGTATAATTTTTGGACTGTGAGATTATTCCATACTGTCCTCAGAGTTATGATGCACCTGCAGTTTCCTTGTTTGAAGTTTGTTGAACAATGACGTATTTAGGTTCAAAGCCCCCTGAGCTGTTCAATAGGGTTGTCCTATTGACTTGTCTAAAAACAGAATAACCAAAACACCATGGGTAGATGACATGAGAGCAATCACTGTCTTCCTATGGACCAGACGTCTCGCCCAACATATATGGGTGTGGAATCGGTGGGCTTCTTTATCAACTTTCTATTTATAAATTGGTTAAAAAAGTTTGCTATCGTTGTTAAAAAAGATATCGGTTATCGATTTTGATAAAACTTAATTAGGTATTCGTTTTAGCAATTAAGCGTCTGATGAAATTTGTTTAGAAACAATGATTGACGATATTTAAAAAGTGTCCCGTTGGGTTTCTTGCTGGTGCCTTCCAGGGCAAATGTTTTACTTGTAATTTATGTAGAATAAAAAAAAATCTATGCTACACTATTCGATGTCATCAAATGTCTGACTCTATGGAGTTTCTCGACTCCACAGAGTCAGTAATTCATTCTTGGGGCAATGTATAAGCTATTACAACAAAGTTGCAGAAAATATACAAGGTATCTCCATTACCGAGTTTAAATACATAATTAAAGAAAAACTGTATAAAAAGGGATAACCCTTTTCTTCAATCAACATGGTTCATTATAACCTCCGAGAGTGAGGTGGTCGCTTCAAAGCTGTTTCTAAAATAAATTTTGTAAATAGTTTGTAATCATTTATATTGTAAAATGTAGTTTAAAAAAAGTCCCGGTAGGTTTCTTGCTGGTTCTTCCCAGGACATGTTTATTTCCGAACCAGTGCCAAAGTAAAAAAATGACTGTCGATAAGAATTAGTTGTAATCAATATTGAATAAAAATTATTCTATTCTGTCGATGTGTGTGAGACGAAAAAATCTCACTATAAACGAACGTACACGCTCACTTGTATTACCAGTATTATTAGATTCGAACGCTACGGATTTGTTAAACTTTTCGACTTTCAAATAACAGGCACAGGCCTATTGTAGCTTCCTAATGGGAATGGCCACTACAGGCGGCGTGAGACGAATCCATCGCCTTATTTTATTCCCGTGGATGCCGTGATAGGTGACTGGAAATTTTTAGAATAAACTCGAGAATTAACCGTCTCGATTACGTCAGACATAAAATATACAGACCGGCGACGGGCAGCAGCGTCAAGGGTGCTCACGTATCATACAGCGACGGTCGGGCCACATACCAACGATTAAGGCAAATTCTCCTAAGAATAGTAGAGGCTCATTTCCAGTAGGGAACTTTTATGTGCTAATGGTGAAGAAGAAAGAAGGTAGGTAGCAAGTTAACAAAATGGAGAGTAATAGACGTAAGAGACATACGCGTCTATGGATGCATAGAATATTAACATATTGAAAAATTACATAATATAATATTACATAGTTTATAAAAAGGTTAAAATATCAATTCTACTATGTAACAAACTCTAAATAAATAAGCAAAATAAAAAATTCTGCTTTTTAATTACATTTGAACGGTAAAAACACTTATGTAATACTGGTAGTACGTATTGTGTATCATTTAAGTAGGTACGTACTCATATATGATAATTGGGCCTTGATACTACAGAACAGAACAATATAGGTACTCGATTATTCTATCGATCGATTACGGATTTCGATTCAGAGATTTCGTTTAAAAAAGTACTTTGTGATACAGAGTACTTACTTGATAACACTAAAAAAAAACAAAATGACGTTCTTAGTTATATTTATTTTTTTAACTACTATACAGTGAGATGTGCAATGACGTACGAAACTTACCTCTTTATTTCATATGGTTTATCATCTATCTCTCTTTCAATTCCCTCAAAGAATTTTGAACACATTTGCCACTGTCACGACCTTTGTTGACCTTTTTGTTCCGCGCCGTTTTTATACAAGTGAAATATATTTGTACTGCTATATATTATCAATTATACTTATAACTATAATCTCGAAAAATAACAACTATAATATACATATCAACGATATCAATTATTACATTACATTACATAAGTCATATTATAATAACTATTTGAAATAAAGGTAAGATTATGTGTCAACATTTGACACATAATCTTACCTTTATTTCAAATAGTCTTTAAATTTCTCTCTGCTTGCCGCTGTCACGACCTTTGTCAATCTTTTTGTTCCGCGCCGTTTTTATACCATTTACGTACTTTGTAGTTGTACTGCTTGAACAACTATAATTAAAACTATAATATAATAACTACGTCAAACATATAACAAACTTAAGACATAATAATCTAAGGTAGCTGAGGTTATGTGTCCAAATTTGACAAATAAAGATATCCGGTTATCATTTTGTCAGTGGTACCCTGGGGGTCCGTAATTTGTGGAGGGTTTGTTTATTGAGTTGCCATGGAAACCAGTCAAAGAGCCGCTGAAGCCTGCCGGAGCGTTGTAGTTATAACCTTGGTAATAAAGAAAAGTCATGCTTAATTAAATGTAACGTACACAAATACAAAGTTGTTAATTAAATAATGTCCTCCAGAAAGAATTTCGAACACGGTGGCCAGTCTAAATGGAAACTAGCCATCGGCGCAGGCCAGGATTTTTTTAATAGAAGAGGGGGCAAACGAGCATGCGGCTCACCTGATTGTAAGTGACTACCGCCGCCCATGAACAACCGCAACACCAGGGGAATTGCAGATGCGTTGCCGTCCTTTTAGAAAGGTGTAAGCTTTTTTCTTGAAGGTCCCTAAGTCGTATCGGTCCGGAAAAATCGCCGGTGGTAAATAATTCCACAGAGAAGTTGTACAAGTAAGAAAACTCCTAGTAAAACCCACAGTCGTGGACCGCCAAGCATCCAGATGGTGAGGATTGTATGGTGAATTTTGACGCGATGTGCGTTCGTGAAATTTGGCGGCTGAAATTAATCCGAACAATTCCTCAGAGCACTTCCCGTGGTAAATTCGATATTTTTTTTTATAGGATAAGGGTGACAAACGAGCACACAGTCCACCTGATGGTAAGTGGTTGCTGCGGCCCATAGACATCTACATCTATCCTCTATTACAAATCAAAATGTAGATGCGTTGTCACCCGTGAGGACTAAGATGGAATGCCTCATTTCCAGTAAAAAGGGCCTCCGGCCACCTGCATTCACCAAGCGAAACGCAGAGGTAAACCTCTACTTCACGCTGGTTTTCTGTGAGGTCGTGGTACCACCCCGGTTCGAGCCGGCCCATCCGTGCGACAGCAAGAGCTGCCGCATGGCTCTACCGCTGTAAAATGCAGATAGAAAATGCAAAGAGATGCGACATCCCTACGCAGTGCCCAATGTATCGAGCCGGTCAGAAAGAACTCGGTCGTCGACGATTCGAAGCGCTCTGCGCTGGATGCGGATTATACTGCCCAAGTGTATGCACATCAAGCACAGGTGCACTCTCTATTCCCTAACTCTCATAGTCCAATGGGACGGTAATCCGACACGACCGTAGAGAGATCAGGCGCTGGACTAACGTGCTTTTCGAGGTACGAGGGTGAAACAGAGTCATCTGACTCCAGGATGCTACTGAGAATTTCTTAACACGAAAAACCCAATAACTGATTTTTGTTTGAACTAGGATTCGAACCGAGGACCTCATAATCAGTAATCGCGTTAGACCCACTAGACCAACGATGCAGTCCGTGAGGTGACGGTGTAAGAGAATCCAACTCCTTTTTTAGTCTCGTGGATATCATAACAGGCGACTATGGAAATTAAGCCAGAATAACTTAAATTAAAAATTGTAAAAACCCCCGACACAACATATTTTTAAACATATTTTCTCGCAACACAGGCAAAAACACTCACGATTGCGACATCAATAAAAAAAAAACTAAATCAAAATTGATTCAGCCTTTGGATTCAGCCGTTCAGTAGCTATGATCAAAGAGTATATGGCTATGATGCCACCGACAGATACACAACAACCCTCTGTTTTCGCCGGGAGTTGAAAATGTATATCTGTGCTAAGACATAGACGTGTAAAATTAAACCCACGAATATTTATAATTTCTGAACTCTGCTTACTTTTCTACCGACTTCAAAAAGGAGGAGGTACTCAATTTTTAAGCGATTTACAACCTAAATTGTAAAGAGTCCCTCAGACTAAAATTTAAAGAAATAAACATATTAACTTTGGCATCGCAATATATTTATGAAAATGTAATGTATGTACATGCTGGTTCTATGAAAAATTATTTAAAAATTGTATAAACGAAATTATGTTTGAAAAAAAAAGTCCCGCTGGGTTTCTTGCTGGTTCTTCCCAGGACAGAGGTATTTTCCGAACCAGTGGTAGATAAAAAATGACTTTCAATAAGAATTATGTAATAATCGATATTTAATAAAAAATTATTCTATTCTATTCTATTCTAATTCGACTGTATATTTTTTAAATATGTGTTACCTCATAACTTTTTTCTGGGTGAACCCATTTCGATGAATCGTTTTATTTGAAAGCTGGTGCTTCTCAAGTGGACCCATATAAATTTGATCAAGGTCTGACCAATCGTTTTTGAGTTATGCTTAATAATTTAAATCAATTGTTATTTAAAAATGTTTTTTAGTCTTTTTAGTGAACTAAGGAACATCACAATCTCAATGTCGCCTCAGTAATTATATTAGATATAATTTCATCCACTATTTTTCCAGCCTTGTTGTTGGAATTTTTTTTTCAAATTTATTTAAAAAATTTATATGATACCACCGCAGAAGTACAAACTATTTGTTAAAGAAAGACTCCTCAAAATCAGTTCACAATCGGCGAAGATACAAAAACAAAATACAGTTGAAGGAACGTCCTCCATTTTGAAGTAAAACTTCTTTAAAATCGTTGGGTTTTGATACACGACTCGAAAAGCGACACTAAAAAGAAACAAATATATACATCTATAGGATTTGATACCTATTATCTTGATCTTCTTTTCTGAAGGTTTCACGTCTACCACACTAAAAAGAGAACCATATACGTGTATAGTTTTTGGCCTCCGAGAGAAAGAGATAGAAAACAGTACACAGTGTTTCCTATTATCTTGGTCTCCTTTTTGGAAGATTTTACTTCTACCACACTAAAAAGAGACAACTATAGGATTTGGCCTGCGAGAGAAAGGCCCAATTTACACTGCCGCGGAACGGAATGGAAGCGAATTTTCGTAACGAAATTGTACATAGTAAAATGAGATTTATGTTAATTTTATAAAGTTCAAACTAGATATGAACCAAAAAAAGTTGCGCGTCTTCCGTGGAATTCTTGAGGATTCCCCTAGCTTTGGGGTCGGCAACCTGCGGCCCGCGAGCCACATGCGGCTGTTTGGATTTGAAGCTGCGGCTCTTTAGTTTCATACGCAAATATAATTTATTTTATAAAAAAATAACATTTAAAAATCAATCCACACTGAGCCATTTGGAGTTGATACTGGATCTCTAGAAATGCAATTGATCGATTTAAAAAGTAAAGCATTGTGGAGTTGAAAATTTACAGAGTTGAAAAGCAAGTTGAAAGAGTTGGAGGTCCAGATATGTATGTACGTAACGCAACAAAAATGAACAGCTTTAAAAGAAATGCCGCGAGTTGAGGCACTTATATTCGACGCATGGAATAGTCTTCCAGATTGCTACAGTGAGGCGACGAAGTTGGCATTTAGAGTGCTGACTATCTTCGGATCAACATAATCGTGCGAGTAAGCATTCTCTTACAGGAATATAATTAAAAGTAAAGTAAAAACCCAACTAACAAATGAAAACTCACAGTCGTGTTTGAAACTTAAAACAACAAGTTATGAGCCAAATTTATCCAAACTTTAAGTATATGTTATTGTTTTTTTTTTATTTTTAAGTAAAAGTTACATTGTTTAGTAAAGTTTAAATTTTCTACTTGAATAACCATACAAAGCCAAAGCTCCCATTGAATTTTTTTTTTGCTCAATTGTTTGTTATTGAAGTACAAGTTAGTGTTGTAAGACTTACAATGTAAATGTTTAATTGATTTCATTTTTACTTAAATAATAAGTGATTATCTAATAATACCATATATATAATTAATAATCTAATAATTAAATAATAATAGAAATTAGATTCTAATTTATTGTGAAAAACAATATTTATATATGAATAAATATATATTTTTCTTATGAATTAATAGATAAGTTTTTTATCAAAAAACTATATTTATGCAAGTACTATTTATTATGGTTGGCAAGAAAAAAAGTTGTGGCTCTTTAAAAACTTTGAAAGTTTGTAAATTGTAATTTTTGACTCTTCCGACTCAAAAGGTTGCCGACACCTGCCCTAGCTACTGTTGGCGCAGTCTGTGGAATCGCGGGAAGCGGCGCGAAGGTTGTGGAATCCGCTGGAAGCCGGGAAGTGGCACTCGCAGGAGTGCGGCATAGGGATGGGCAATGAAATAAGATATATCGAATCCTTTTAAACAGTATCGATATATATCGCGTGATAAATATCGATATATCAATATATCGTCATGATGTACAGATAAGGTCCAAACTTTTATTTACTGACGGCTGGCTGGACGACGAAAAAAACGATAAAACATTTTAAAATATTTTGAAATAGATACGAATTCGGTATTCTATAATAAACATCGATATATCGATATATTACGATTTAAAAGATATTTTTATTAAAAATATCGATATTTCGATATATCGATATTTTTTGCCCAAGCCTAGTGCGGCATCAATAGCCTACGAAACGGGTTGTGTACGTACCACAGAGTACATTATATATAGGGGATTGGTACGTAGTGTGTGACTAAAAAACATGGATTTAGACGAAAAGTTGATCTTTTTCGTGCAAAAATATGATTGTTTGAATAACGTAGAAGCTAGGCGAGGCGTAGTCGCTGGAATTCGCGCGACGAGGCGAAATTGACGCTTCCATTCCGCCGCAATGTAAATTGAGCCAAAGAGTATCTTGGTTTCTTTTTCTGAAGGTTTCACTTCTACCCCGTGTGAAACACATTTTTTTTAAAAGTCGTCTAAAAAGCAGAACGCTCTTAATTTTACAATATGGCAAACTTTTAGGCCGATGACGAAGAAGGAGAAACTTACCTTGATGGTAATTGTTAACCGGCTCTGGGTACCTTGCTTCCCCCTCGTACCTCACGTCTGCGTGGAAACCTGTCTGCCAGTCCGCATGGTACGTCACTGAGGACAGAATAGAAATTTCTTATAACTTTATTTATTTTTTTCTAATAATTACATAACAGTTCTGTACTGGGTGTCGTAAGAGGTGACAGGGGGATATGAAACAGGAGAGCAGCATCATCCTGATAAGAACGAATGGTGAAGGACCACGCTCTCACAGAATATCAACGTGATATGGTGTTGAAAACTGGAGACCTATTTGGCTGGTAACGAGGTATTCCATCTTAGTCCTCAGGGGTGAGAACGCATCTGTATTTTGATTCTTTATCAAAGATAAATGGAGATATCTATGGGCCACAGCATCTACTTACCATCATTTGGAAGAAAGTGCTCGTTTGTAACCCTTATTCTATAAAAAAAAATTCAAGCGATAAGCGCTTGACGTAAATTCTAAAGTTCGCGAGAAACTCGTTGGATCCCCGTTTAGACCACAGGATTTGGTCAGTAAGCCCGCTGATTTTAAAATCAGAATAGCACGGGCTTGGTGATGAAGAAAAACATCGTGAGGAAACCTGCACGTATGAGAAATGAAATATTTTGAGACGCGGCGTGGGAAACTAACAGCTGTTCAATTTGGTCAAACAACGAGGGCTAATAATTTTCTGCTCACCAGATGTCGCTAGACACTGAGGTAAAGTTTTTTGTTACACAATGTCATTTAATTGAAAAGTTGGTTTTTATAAACGTTTATCACTTTCTAGAGTATTATAATAATACACAAAACAATGCATCAGTGGTTTGCTCATTCATTTTCAGCATTTTTATCAAATTTTTCTTCTTTTATGAATACCTGTGGTTTGATTTATTTATTTTTAATCTTATTAATAAAAAATATATCAAATAGTACTGAAAGCAACAATAACCTTACATTTTTCGAACAAATTAACTTCCCCGCTATGAAATCTGTCAAATATTATACCTCACTTTCTAGTGGCGCCGCCCTGGTGGCAGAAAAAGTCGTGGAGATGCTCTCATTAGGCACATGACAGCCGCTACCCCCACGCTTCCTCTAGTGACCTATCACCGTTCCTGCGTCCCCTACCTTACCTGTCATGCGCGTTATTGTTTTGGTCAAGAAGTATATAATTAAATGCGTACTTAATTAAAACTAAGGCTTGTGCCCAACACTGAGACGTATGTATACTTTAACTGTACTGCAATTGTAATATCCTATAGACCGAATTTCTTTCACGGCAGCCAGTCTCTGCACAGACTAGCCATCTGTGCAGTACAGGATAATATTGCACGAGTGTATGCGCATGCACAGGTGCACTCTCAATTCCCTCACTCAACAGCTTTGCGCACTTTCCGAGGCACGAGGTTAAAACGCCGCCAACTCTCTGACTCTGTACTACTACTGAGAATTTTTTGACAGAAAAACCTATTAACTGATTATTTTGAGCCGGCCCGGGATTTAAGGCGACACCGCGAAAAAATGCACCTCCTTTCATCGTATAGTATAGGAGTATGACACGACTAACGAAACTGGAATTTTGATATAGGTAAATTCATCTCTTTATCTTGAATTTGCTTGCTCAAAAACACGATTGTAAAATTTTGACTCGATCATAATTGTTTGCGAAAACACCTCTAAAATATCACTATAGTTGAAAATACAACGAAATTATTTCATCTATATGCTTGGGAACCACTCAAATACATTTTTAACATCAATATTCGTGATTTACTTGCTCATTATTTTGATTACTAAAATCATATAATTTTTAAAAACATTTTAAGATTCTAAGCGATTTCGAAGCGGTCTGGATCGTCGCGGGCGCTACGCAATTTTAGACCTTATGACGGCGCTTTTGAAGTTTTTATAGAAATTATGTTTTAGTTCTAGTTAGTCCGACGCATGAAGCTAATACAAAGCTTTGTATTTGCTTCATGGTCCGACGATAGCCCGCTTCAACGGTTTTCGATGTGTCGCCTTAAACCAAGCACAAGGACACTAGAACAACGATACAGACGTACTGACGTGCTGATAATCTTATGGTCGCTAGATGTCGCTAGTTGGGACTGAGATGAACTTTGTAACTCATTATTGAAAAGTTGCGATTTAATTACTTATAAATTTTTCGATTTCTAGTCTATATGTAAATTAAAGAATGCAATACTGAGGCAATACAATGCCTTATGCCTAATTTAAGGAATATCCGTATCCGTAATGCGTTGTCAGCCGTGAGCACTAAGATCGAATGCCTCTTTTCCAGTATAAAGGGTCTCCGGTTCTCTACACTCACCATACGAAACACAGCAGCAATAAGCAGCTATTTTACGCTGGTATACTGTGAGAGCGCGGTCCTTCCCCGGCCGAGCCGACCCATTCGTGCTACCTATACAATTAATATAGCTGCAGCATGACTCTACCTCGTTGTGTTCTCACTTCTGTTGTAATCTCTTCACTTTTATAAAAAAATAACTTCACCCAGCTATGAATTCTGTCAAATATTTCACCTTATTCTCAAGTGGTTGCAGAAAAAGTGGATCATTCAACTGGTCTGCTCAGGAACGTCCCGGGGATAGATTCCAATTGCAGTCATAAACTACTAGGAGAACATAACTAAAGTAAAGCAAAATTCGGCACCTATCTGTGTGCGTCCATCTGGCAAGTGCACCCTGTACTCGCCGCGCACCTCGTGACCGTCGGACGTCTCCTTTCTGTCGTAATCGTTGCCTGATTGCGAGTCTTTCACCGAGTAACCGAATTCGTAGGACTTCGGCTGAAAGAAATATCTTTATTATAATTTAAAATCTTATACAATCTTAGACCATTAAAGAAAGGTAGTCAACACAGTTGTTTCAAATGCCGCGGAAACCATGTTCAACTTACTGTAAACGTACGCAGTACGCACTCACACACATATTTGCACCTAAAACGATGATGCTGGTTGCATAAGTGTGATATATTTTTTTATTCACATAGAACGTAATAAATAATAATTATAATTAAAAATGGCAACCATTTTTACCACGTTTCTAGTCATGAGCTTTATTAAAAAGTTTCAAATCTCTAACTCATAGGGAAGTTACTTTAAAATCAATTGCAAAACTTGTACCGAACAAGCAAGAAAGCGAGTTACTAAAACGTATTTTTTGTCTCCAAACAAGTGGTAAAATTAAATATTTTGTGCAAATTTTGTTACCCTTCAATATAAGTTTTTTTTTTATATAGGAGAGGGGGCAAACGAGCATACGAGAGCGGCAAGGGGCGCCTTTGACTTATTGCTCCGTTTGCCCCGAGCAGGTTTAGTCTCAAGCGAAATTTCGCTATGATTTGGTTTAATCCTCACGTTCGGCAGACGGATTATCGATTGTCCTTGTACCTTTGACGTTGCTTCCAGTCGCCGCTCAGGGTTTTTTACGCCTACCGTAAACAGGATAATTATTTATTTTAAACCAACATGCGCCCCACCTAATAGTAAGTGACTTCCGCCGCCCATGAACTAACCACAACACCAGAGAAATTGCAGGTGTTACCGGATTTTTAAAAAGGAGGGACGTCTTTTCTATAAGGTCCATAAGTTGCATCGGTCCTGAAAAATCGCTGGCGGTAGCTGACTCCACAAAGAAGTCGTGCGAGGAAAATACCTTTCGGTAAATCAAGAATAATAATAATAATTTGTCCCTGTCTGTCTTTCCGTCCAAACACAATCTGGACGTCTTCAAGGCAATAGAGAATAGGCTTTTGTTACGCTAAGACAGTGCGATTTCCGTTAAGGGCTACATCGCCACTTACCACCAAGTGGGATTTTGATCAAGCACTGTGGCTTGTATAAGGAAAAAAAATTGCACAGTGATGAATGCTATCGTTAATTTTGTCGCAATGCGCTTTAGTGGAATTTATCCAAACAATTCGTTTGATCACTCTCCGATGGTAAATGCGATAAAAATGCAAAGGGTTAAAACAAGGATAAATCACCATATATTGGAAGCCAAAAGATCTCTTTGGCATATCTTATATTCGCCTCTTATAATATATTCATTTTTAAGTTAACTAACACACACACTCACACACAGTAACAATTAATCAGCACAGATAAACTTTGCTCACTTAGCTTATAGGTTAAAGTAACAGAAAATGGAATGGAGACTTCAGTGTATTTTTTTAGAATGGTAACGTATCAACTATTATCATTAATCTTTGTTTATTAACTAACTGCAATAATATATTAATATATTTATCATTGGTGCGTCTGATAATGATCTCGACCCATAGATTACCCCCTAAATTAGGAGGTAATCTATGTCTCGACCGTACGATGTTCACACAATATAATATATCGAGACGATGGTTCTTAGCTATGCTAGATTCCGATATATATATATATATATATATTATATATATATATATATATATATATATATGACTACTAATGACTATAGTCATTTGATGACTATCACAATGAATTCACAATATGTGTTGTCAAACGGAAAGATTTTATCGTAAAGGAAATATTTGCCACAGTTGCCACGTTTGGCAGGCGGGTTAGCAACCGCAGTTTTTTTTATTTTTTGAGTTGTTATCGGAATGATACTGATGTCCATCTCCAGTTTCATTTCCCTCTGTTGCTTCATACAACAACATAATGATATAGGATAGTAGATATTCTTACGCATACCAAAAATACTTAAGTATGCTAACAATAAAAACTACATTTGACCCTTGTTAAGTTTACACTAATTTAAAAAAAATTAAAAACGAACGTTTAATACGATAACGTACATTATTTAATTATAGCAAACGGTTAAACTAAACCTACAGGACAATGAACAAACGTGGTAGAACCATGAATAGGTCGGATTTACCAGGGGGAAGGAACACGGTCTATATCTATAGTCTGTACTACCAGCGTAAAATAGAAACAGTTGCATAACGATATTGTGTTTCTGATGGTGCGTATAAAGAACCGGAGTCTCTTTTTACTGGATACGAGGGATTCTATCTTAGTCCCCTGGGTTGATAACGCATCTACATTTTGATTCTTAATCGCGGATAGATATAGGTGTCTAGAGTACACAGCATCCACCAACCATCAAGTGGACTGTGTGCTCATATATCACTCTTATTCTTTAAAAAAAATAAACAAGCAAAATGAACATTTCATGACAATGAATGGTAAGTTAGCAAATATTTTAGTGTGAATTCAACTCCACTGGTTTTAAAACAACAAAAGCGATCTTGAACTAATATTCACATCTGATTATTTTCCCGTATTCATTGCGGGACCACAGACAAAAACGGTAAGCTTATATTTTTTATAGAAGTAAGGATGACAAAAAAGCAACACTGAGCACACAGTCCACCTAATGGTAAGTGAATAAATACTGTGTTACATCAAACCAGCCTTTACTATCATCGATTAAGAATCAAAATATAGTTAGTTTGTCGCCACTAAGGACTAAGATGGAATTCCCCTTTACCAGTAAAAAGGATCTCCGGTTCTTGTCGTGCACCAAACGGAACAGGAGCGTTATGAAGACTCAAAGAATACTAATTTGTTTTCTTCAAAATCCTCTCATGTTCAAGTAGTACAACTAAATATTTAACTAATAAACTAGCTAACCTTTCTCATAATATTATGTATTCCTACTAAGTATCAAATTATTGTCCCCAGGCTGTAATGAAGCTCTATATATTTTTGTCCTATATCGTGGTCATATACGGAGCGGAAATAAGCGATGAAGAGTGCGATGGAGTTACTATCGACGGCATATATTACGACAAGGAGGTCCTGAAAACAGATCTAGATCGACCGTATTCTTTAGCCGTGGACTTCGGCACCAACGTTCTATATTTCAGTAGCAGCGTTCAGGAAACCGACGACATCTTTAAAACTGCCAAGATCAACCTTTACACGAAGGATTTCGCAGAACTGGACGGAGTAGAGAACGGCTTCGTGCAGACAGTGGATCAGAAAAATCACGTACCTTACATCGGCAGCTCAAAAGGTATCTTCAAATACGGTTACACAGATAATACAGCCAAACTGTTCGCAGCACATGACAAAGATATATGGGACATATACTTCAAAGATATTTTGTACTATTCTGAATTTCCTTCGCTATTTCTTTACACAGTCAAGGAAGGTCAAACAGAGCGGTTTAAAGATCTAGAAGATACCAAAGTAATACATTTTGCTATCGATGACGAAGACGATATGTTTTACACTAATGGTACCGGCCTGTATAGTCAGAAAAAAAATACAAAAGACTCAGTTCTATACAAAGAGCTGAATAATGGTGAAGGTGTTAGAGGGATAACGACTGATGTGAATGGAAAGGTATATATTTGTATCACTGATGGAATATATAAGGTTAATAAATATACAATCACTCTGGAGAAAGTGGTTGACGTGGACGATGCGTTTGGAGTTGCTTTCGACGGTAACAATAATATTGTTTATGCTGACGCTACATCGTTGATTCATCTCAAACCTAGCAAGAATAAAAATTGTTAATCTAGTAATGCATTTTAAGATAAATTGTATGTATTGTAAATACCTGATTGTAAAATAAAACTCGTTTTTCGAATTTAATTTTAAATTACTTAATTTCCACTACCCACCATTCAAACATTTTATCTCATGCATATTATAAGAGGCGACTAAGAAAAACACCAGAAAAATCTTATGAATAAAACTGAAATGACAAGCGAACTAAATGGTTACTGTAACCAACATCAAACAAATGTAACAAAAGCGTTGACATCTCTGATAAATATGATGGAATGCACTACTCTTTGGCGCCAGATATAGGTTAGAGGGTAGTACAGGTGGCAGACGTACTCCCAAACAATGGAGCCCTAACACCTAGTGAGTATTCAATTATAAAAGGAAACAAAAAGTACATTCATCTTAAATATTAAAAAATAAGTCGTGCTAAAGTGCAAAAAAAATGACAACATTCAATCCGGAAGCAAGACATATTTATAAATTCTTTGAATACAATTTAATTCCCTAGAATATATTAGAATAGACTTTATTTGAAAGAATACGGCTTATAATAATATAAAGACAATAATATAAAATAAAATATTTATTATAATAATAATTAAAATATCTATAGTCTAATTCCATCAGTCTACAATTAAAATATTAGACGAAAATTTATATCATTTAAAAAATGGAAGACAAGTATTACTTTGGACAAATTTGTCTAACCTTTTTTCATTTAGATTCACTTCACGTTTATATTTATTTCAACGCGTCATCCTGTGTTGTATAACCTTAATAAAATTATCGTTATGTTCGACGAACTTGACAAATCAAAACAACAACAAATCAAAACCAATCTTTTAACAAAGTTATCCACTTTATGAATACATAACATAAGGTATAAAATCGAACTAAATTTATTTATCAACTGCAGATATCACATTCAGTTGTATGAGATAACACATCACAACATTTAGAGCAAGCCAGTTGTAATGTTAAAGCGGAAAATGTAACACGCACAATAAACATGAAAATAATATTGTTGACATACGTAACGCTTTCTCTAGTTTTGAATTTAGAAGCGAAAATTACTATACTGCTGACAGATGGACCGATACAAAAGATCGGACCGAGAATTTATAAGAAGGAACTCCTCACGAACGAATTCAATGACCCCATAGAACTCGCATACGATTCAGCGACGAGGAACCTCTTCTTCATGTATATGGACGACGAACTGCAGAATTCCGGTCGTGCTTTCGTAAACGTTATAACGAAGAGAAGCAAGAAAATCGACGGCATATCAAGAAACAAAGCGACAGCAGTCGATCCCGAAACAGGTGATGTGTATTTCGGATCGGACGATGGACTTTATATTTACGATGCGTTAACAAACACTGCAAAAAACATTGGACTGTACAACGTGAATGTTTTTAAAGTTGTTATTAGAGACAATCAAATGTACCTCATAGATGCTAATAATCACATGATATACAAGGTTACAAATCGAGGAACAAGAACAGTTAAATTAGGCAACGCTAAAACTGTTATTGATTTTGAAATAGACAATAACAAAAACGTTCATTTTGTTACCATGTGCGGACTGTATTGTGCTGTTGGCGGTGAAGAAATTGTGAAGAATAATGATTTAAGACTTGCGTATAATTTCATCGTTGACGGTGAAAAGACGTACGCGATCGCAGAAGGGGTTCTCTATGAAATTGACTGTGCTAACGGAACCGCATCAAAAGTTGCCGATTTAGATTTTATCCCGCGTAGTATTATATTTGGTGACTACGGTGACATATTCTATTCAGAGAATGATAACATTTATAGGTTAAGGCCAATAACGTCTTATCTAGTATATAATTTACCAAGGAGATCGCAACACAATTTGACGTAGAACTTTGTTGTTATTTGTTATTTAAGAGAACTAGTGAATCATTTTTTATAATTTTATTTTAGTGTTAAGAAGCCATACACATTCGTATTAATATATTAGTAAATCATCTATTAAATATATCTAACCGGTCTTAACAGTGTACGTTGGGCGTCAGAAAATATATGCCACAATATCGTCCAACAACACTGCGGACGCCAAGTGTGGCGATTACGGCAGATCTTACAATGGAAGAGACCAATGTCTACTAAACTTTTACGGGCTGATAACGAAGAAAATGTAGTTTTCATATCTGTAACGTGTAACTGTCACGATATCTGTAAAGCTCTCATCTATGGCAATATAGATGTATTCAGGGTTATTTTTCAAAACGTAACCAAATTTTTAACTTAAGTTCAAATATATAAATAATGATATTTCATTATTTCAGTTTTTGAAAATACGAGTAAATAAGGCTTCTACTTTGATTTTTTTTTATTTGATTAATTATCCCAAATTGAATGTGTTTGATGGGCAACAAAGTTTTTGCCTACCGAACGACCCTTATGAATATGTGCGTGAGTGCGTGCGCAGTAAAAGTCAGTTAAAATAATGCATTACCACGCATTTTGAAGTTAAAAAATAAAAAGGACAGAATGTTTTAGTTTTTTTTTAATTAATTTTTCTTCACCGTTTGCCAATATTCTGAACCTTCTCGGTAAATTTGGCCGGTTATTGCAAAATAACGCTGTATAAAGAAATACCGGTTTAAGAATTCGGGCTTTTAATTCTTCTGACTTAAAAGCTACCAGCTTTAGAAGTAGGAGCTACTTACTTCTAAGGCTGGTATGTGGTAGTTATTATTTCTTTAAGATTTTTGAAGCCGCCTTTTACTTTTTTATTAAGTTTTATTTTTCTTATACTGCTAGTAATTAGAAGGTAGGTTTTTTTAAGCTAATTGGGTTTAGTTACCAGTTAAAAAAGGGCTATATATTTTTTAATTTTAAATTTAGATTTTATATTGTATAGTTGTAAATATTTGGTGGTTATTTAAATAAATTGCATTATAATAAACTTTAGTCTAGTGGTAATTTTTTTGTCCTGGCCGGCAAAAAAAATCTGATTGTTTTTTCAATCAACTTCAAAAAAGGAACTTTTTTTCCAGGTGAAACGATTTTGATGATTTTTTTTTTAAATTTGAAAGGTGTTGCTTCTCATGTGGTTGATCAAGATCTGACCAGTAGTTTTTGATGATGTGCTCATTTTATTTATATTAAATTCGGTTTTACAAAAAAAAAATTACCGACTGGTCTTACACTGCTAGTAATTAGAGGGTATGCTTTTTTAATCTAATTGGGTTTAGTTACCAGTTAAAAAAGGGTTATGTACATTTTTTTTATTTTAATTTTAAATTTTATAATGTTGTAAATATTTGGTGGTTATTTAAATAAATTCAATAGAATCAAACTGTATATATAAACTTCATTGTTAGTCTAGTTGTGGTAATTACTTATTGAGTTTTTTTTTTAAGAAATTCTCAGTAACAGTCCGGAGTCAGGAATTTGGCGGTGTTTCGCCTTCGTGTCTAAGAAAGCACGTGAAGCCAAAAGAAGCGAAAGTGAAGGAATAAACAGTGTACTTCTTAAAGGAACAAAATATTTGTGGACGTTTACGCTTGAAGTTGGCGTTCATAGGTACAACGGCCATTTACCATCAGTGGATTGTCAGGTCGTTTGTCACTTGTGTATTTTGAGAAACTTACCACTTCGTTGTCAACACCATGACCATGTTCGTGACCGTTGTAGTCCGGCCCGGAGATCGATCGGTGAGTACTCGGCGGTAGGTAGCTATTGCTTGGGTTCGAATAGTCTGAAAGCATATACATACAAGGTCAAAGTCGTTGAAGCGATCGATTGAGCTATGCTCGGGGTTTCTCTGGCGTATAAAATTCGTAATGACGAAATCCGAGACATACAAGTGGCGACACGTAAGTCTAGCGTTGAACGAAACATAGAGAAAACGGGCACGAATTGAATTGCACGAATGCTACTGGAGAGCCAATCAGCGCGTGCGAACGATACGCATGAGCCAATCAGCGTGACTTATGCGCAATAACGGTCACCGCTAGACTTTCGTGCCGCTACTTATAGCCTTCCGTTTTACCACAGTTTACACAATTTAAAGATGCTCTCGTTTTGTTATACATGGTAGAGCCATGCTGCAACTATATTATAGTTGTAGCACGAATGGGTCAGCTCCGCCGGGGAAGGACCAAACTCTCACAGAATACCAGCGTGAAATAGCAGCTTACTGTTGCTGTGTTATGGTGAGTTTAGAGAACCGGAGACCCCTTTTACTACAATAGAGACATTCCATCTTAGTCCTCAGGGGTGACAAAATATAGATGTCTATGGGCCATAGCATCCACTTACCATCAAGTGGACTGTGTGCTCGTTTGTAATCCTCATTATATAAAAAAAAACTGTGGTATTACTTACCACAATTTTTTTTTACACAATAAACGAGGTACTTTTAAATATATATTTTTCATTACATATTTAATAATTAATGAATTATTTGATGTCAAACAGTGCGGAAGTTGCTTGAACATCTGACTAATTCCAGGTGTACAATACCCCCATCGCACATTGCCGCAAAACTCGCGATACCATCCATACCATCTGGATGACTGGCGGTCCACCACTGTGCGTTTTAAAAGAAGTTTTTTTCCTCGCATAACTTCCTTGTTGAATCGACTACCACCAGAGATTTTTCCGGACCGATACGCTTTAGGGACCTTCACGAAAAGAGCTTACTCCTTTTTAAAAGGCCGGCAACGCATCTGCGATTCACCTGGTGTTGCAGTTGTTCATGGACAAGCCGCATGCTCATTTGCCCCCACTCCTATAAAAAAAGAAAACCTCGTGGTCCCTGCCTATCACAAACAATTCAAAGTGGTCCCTGGTCAAAAAAAAGGTTGGGAAACCCTGGAATAAATAGAGCGATGATCTGCACAAGGTGTCTGTTAAGAACTGGATTCGTGTAGTCGAAGACTGGTCTAAGAGGCACGTCTTGGGGGTGGGGGCTATGTACAGCAGTGGACTACCGAAAACTAATGATTAAAATCTTCCCAGTGGGAAAGCTTAGCTTACAAAAGAGTTTAAGCCATTGTGTTCTTTTCGCCACGTTTTATTTTTTATAGAATGAGGGTGACAAGCGAGCACACAGTCCACCTGCGGCCTATAGACATCTACATCCATCCTCGATTAAGAATCAAAATGCAGATGCGTCGTCACCCCTGAGGGCTAAGACGGAATGCATTACCAGTAAAAAGGGTCTCCGGTTCTTTACTCTCACCATACGAAACACAGCATTAGGTATTCTTATATTTAAGGATAAGTGAGGTTATTGTTTACACTACTACTACATCTGCTGGTAGGTAAAATAGGTAGGTAGGTCCCTACGTAAACAGGCTCCTGGAAAGAGAAGGAGCCTCATCACCCAACAAAGATTTATATGTTAGTTATTGAGCTAAAATTCACTAAGCACTCAATAATATTAACTTTTTGGTACTTATATATTTATTTGTAAATTTCTTACAATATAACTGTATCTTTTTTAAAAAAAAACGTTACCCCCACACTAGGATTTTCTCCTGTATCGTGGAGGCAATTTACAAACATAAATTGCACAAGGACAAACATCCAGACCCGGAACAATTATTTGCAGGCCATACAAATACTTGTTCCGTGCGGGATTCGAACCTGCGGCCTCCAGCGCAGCAACGCATTGATAAGCCACTGCGCCACGGAGCCATTTTATTGACATAATATTAAAATGTTCATTAGGTATGTATTATAATTATAATAATAATAAAAAAATACAAGCTGCGTTCCTGAATGGTTATACTTAGCATTTAACAGCCCTCTTGTCACCAACGTCAACGACAAGTCGTGAATGTAGTTACTTAAGGAACCTCACCACACGTGGACTGCCCGGACCGATAGTCTCTACAGCAAATGTTATGTAGTCATCTCTTAGAGACTCATACTTGCGCAACTTATTAATTAACTAATTCATAATAATTCGTGTATAAATTTTAAATCTATTATAATTCTAATGACGACATTTAGTTTATATTCCACAAAAAGATCATTGCTCCAGGTGAGGCTCGAACTCACAACCCCGGCATTGCTCGGACACTGTCTTATAAGTACCGTGCGCTAACCAATTGCGCCACTGGAGCTACGAATACAATTGTAAAAAAATCTAATTATATTACGACGTGAAAAATTTTTTTTTTTAATACAAGTAGATAGGTTTAATTTATCTTTAAAACTTACATTGGGAGTGTGAACAAATTGACCGAATGTGTTAAGATACGCTTTAGATTGCAGATAATTCCTAATATTTTATAATGTTTAAATTCATTACAATTTTAATCAAAAGTCAATTCAATCATATTTATTTTACAGATTTATCATACCTATTCTACAGTTGTACACATTTGAGTCTGTTCTTAAGCTTGATAATTTAAAACTAAAGTAACTTGTGCTAGTTAATTTTGATTGAACACTAACTAACAGTAGCGTAACATATCAGCTTAATGCAGCTGTGTTTCGTATGGTGAGTGTAGAGTACCAGAAATCCTTTATACTAAAACGAGGCATTTCATCTTAGTCATCAGAGGTGACAATGCATCTGCATCTATCCTTATCGAGGATAGATGCAGATGTCCATGGATCACAGCACACTTACTATCAGGTGAACTGTGTACTCATTTGTCACCCTTATTCTATAAAAAAAGAAGTGCGTTGACACCCTCTGAAGAGAAACAATTGCGAGTTACCACATTAATGTTGACTCCAGCTAAAATTTGAACCCAAGATCTGTGACTCGTTAATATGAGCATAAAACCATGCGATTGTCGATCCTGCGGAGTTGCTTCCACCACACAGGGGTTTGTTACCACTACAGCCTATTAAAATCCACTGCTGAACATACGCCTCTCCCATAGATAGCTTCATAGTGGGGATATTTGACATAGTTTAATAATTTCATCTCTCAGTGGGCCATGTACTCCTGGTAGATTATCTTCTAAACATCCATCCATTACAGCATAGTCCACTGCTGAACATAGGCCTCCCCCATAGATTGCTTCATAGCAGGGATATTTGTCATAGTTTAATAATTTCATCTCTCAGTGGGTCATGTGTTCCTGGTAGATTATTTTCTATACATCAATCCATTACAGCATATACGTCCACTGCTGAATATAGGCCTCCCCCATAGATTGCTTCATAGCAGGGATATTTGTCATAGTTTAATAATTTCATCTCTCAGTGGGTCATGTGTTTCTGGTAGATTATTTTCTATACATCAATCCATTACAGCATATACGTCCACTGCTGAATATAGGCCTCCCCCATAGATTGCTTCATAGCAGGGATATTTGTCATAGTTTAATAATTTCATCCCTCAGTGGGTCATGTGCTCCTGGTAGATTATCTTCTATATATACAGCATATAAAGTTCACTGCTGAATTTGCCATAGTTGTTATTAGGAAGATGTTGCTGCCCTTCACCTTATTTGTTTTCCTCTGTTTCCTCTTACGAAACCCACGGTATGATATGGGATAGTGGATATTCTTACGCCGCCACTACACGGTAATTGTTTACACGTACACTGGGAGTTGTTTCACCAGACATTAATCATAACTCACCTGTCCTCGGAGGCAAGTAGCTATTCGAAGGGCCGAACCCGCTCGGAGTGTGGTAATTATAACCTTGGACTGGCGGCTCACAGTAAACTGATGCCGTCAGGAAGACCAGGCCGAAGATCTGTAAGTAAAGTCATGATTTAAAAAGATGACCTAATGCGAAAAGTCTACCCTGAGGTGGTAACGTTACAGTGTAGTAGAAACAAGAAAGAGAATTGAGAAATCAGAATAGAATTAAAGAATCCATCGTCCCGTTTTTTTTTTGACCAACGATCGTACAGCCAACCTGATTATAAGTGACTGGTGTAGTTCATAGACAACTGCAGCCAAATTCAAACAAAGAAGGTTACAGATGCGTTGTCACCTCTGATAAGATGAAAAACTTCAAAGCCATTCATGAAACAATATTTCTATGGCTATACAAAGACGCGAGGCGAGCAGGCGAGAAACGTTTTTTAACCCCCTACGCAAAAAGAGGAGTGTTAAGCCGCGTCTCCACCAAAGTTTTGTTGCCAACACAACAGTTGGTTTTTTTTTTTTTTTTTTTTTTTTTATAGGATAAGGGTGACAAACGAGCACACAGTCCACCTGATGGTAAGTGGTTGCTGCGGCCCATAGACATCTACATCTATCCTCTATAACAAATCAAAATGTAGATGCGTTGTCACCCGTGAGGACTAAGATGGAATGCCTCATTTCCAGTAAAAAGGGCCTCCGGCCACCTACACTCACCAAGCGAAACGCAGAGGTAAACCTCTACTTCACGCTGGTTTTCTGTGAGGTCGTGGTACCACCCCGGTTTGAGCCGGCCCATCCGTGCGACAGCAAAAGCTGCCGCGTGGCTCTACCACTGAAAACAAAACTTGTTTCCATTTTCGGCGGCAACATCAAAGGAATACGCTTGTTGCCAACATTTGTTCCCTCGGTGGAGACGCTTGTTGGAAACAGTTGGAAACATAACTGTTGTCAACATTTTTGGTGGATACGCGGCTTTATAAGTTTGACCGCATTGTGTATGTGTGTGTATCTGTCTGTGTGTCTGTCTGTAGCACCGTAGCTCTTAAACGGGTGAACCGATTTGGGTGCGGTTTTTTTTAATTTAAAATCAAGTTTTTTAGCGGTGGTTATTAGACATGTTTTATCAAAATCGGTACAGCCGTTTCAAGGTCATCAGATGTTTTTTAGCTGCGGTAGGGTTCTTTTCGGTGGTCGTTTTAAATTTTCAATTTAAGTTATGTAATACTGAAGTAACAAACAAACTCAGTCCAGGTGTTAAGTGGCTACTGCAGCCCATGGACAACTGCAGCCACCTTCAAACAAAGAAGACTAGAATACTCTAGTCTGTTGTCAGCGTTGTTGTTCTGAGGACTGGACCGTAAACCTACGCTATTTGTCAACCGCTTTCTATGATTATCTATTATTACAGTTATGTTATGCAGTCCGTTACGCCATGCTTATCCCGTACGACCATCAGCACATCGTAGTACAGAATATAACAGTACTATACGTAAGTGTCTCTACTGCAGGCAACTTTTAACTTCAAATGAACTATCCAGCAGTATTGTGATAACGAACTAAATATTTTAAATAAATAAATTACATATTTTACTTAGTAGAGCCATGCTACAGCTATATTAGTAGTATAGTTGTAGCACGAGTGGATTGGCTCTTCGACCAGACCACGCTCTCATAGAATACCAGCATAAAATAGCAGCTTACCGCTGCTGTGTTTCGTATGGTGAGTTTAGAGAACAGGAGACTCTTTTTACTGGAAACGAGGCATTCCATATTAGTCGTCACGGGTGACAACGCATCTGCAGTTTGATTCGTAATCGAAGATAGATGTAGTGTAGATGTCTATAGGCCACAGCAACCACGTACCATCAGATGGACTGTCTGCTCATTTGTCACATAATCTATAAAAAAACAACTCCCATTCTATTTTTATTTCACATATCGTTTTGTTCGCATTACTGTATAACTGTGTTTAATTTAGGGGAACAAATGATGTCAAAATAACTTAAAATCCCTTCGTATTAGTGAAATTATTTTTCAATTTTGATGCAACGATTATGTAGTTATTACTTATATTACTAATGATAAAAGAAGAACATTTCCGTATTTCTATGTAATAAATAATTATTATTACATAGAAGTATTCTATGAGAGCCTGGTCCTACCCTGGTCGAGCCGACCATTTATGCTACAACCGTAATATAGCTGCAGCGTGTCTCTACCACGTAAAAAATGGTTAACACGTAGATGAGTTTATGTATTTAGGAAGTATGTTTAACAGGAATGGTAGATATCACAAGGGTCGAATCGATCGATCGAAATACCCGACTGAAATGCTTCTACTAAAAATATATGTTTTCTTCTTGCTTCTTTTACGTCGTAATAAAAGAAAAGGGAATGAAGGTGAACGCCTTTAAGACAATTGCAATGGTTTTTGAAAGAAAAGAAAGTAAAACGAAGTACAAGTGATAAAATTAAAAATTTTGTACAACCGACTTCAATATAATTTTTATTATAGGATAGGGTGACAAACGAGGACACAGCCCACCTGATGGTAAGTGGTTGCTGTGATCCATAGACATCTACATCTATCCTCAACTACGAATCAAAATGCGGATGCGTTGTCGACCGTGAGGACTAAGATGGAATGCCTCGTTTCCACTATATAGGTTGGTTCTCCGGTTCTCTACACTCGCCATATAAAAAACAGCAGCATTGAGATGCTATTTTACGCTGGTATTCTGTGAGAGCGTGGTCCTTCCCCGGTCCAGCCGATCCATTCGTGCTACAACTATACGACTAATATAGCTGCAGCATGGCTCTACCACGTATGTATATCATTTATTGTTAGTTTTTTGAAAACCACTCGACCGATTTCGATAAAATTTAAACGGGACCACATGCGATGTACTCTTTGAAACAAAGAAAAAATTTTACAAGTCGAGTCAGGTGTCTTCGTCTTCGAGTAATCGGTGAACATGCATAAAAAAAGATTCCGACTAATTGTAAACATCTTCCGTTTTGAATTCTGTTGAAAACTAAACGAAATGTGGTGATGAATTCTTCGATTATAGTTTTTAGTTATATTTTTAGATTATTAGTTACATTTATATTCTTAGATTCTTTGTGTACTCGTAGTTTATTAGTTACATGCTGATGTTTAGATTTTTAGTGACATTTAGATTTAGTTACCTTGAAGATCATGCTGTAGCTTTTCAAGCTGGTTTCTGGATCTGTAACAAAAAGTACAATAATTATACTTCACATTTTATATGTTTTTTTTATAAAAAAAAAGGGTGACAAACGAGCACACAGCACCACCTGATGGTAAGTGGTTGCTGTGATCCATAGACACCTACATCTATCCTCAACTACGAATCAAATTGCAGATGCGTTGTCACCCATGAGGACTAAGATGGAATGCCTCGTTTCCACTAAATAGGGTGGTTCTCCGGTTCTCTACACTCACCATACAAAACACAGTAGCATTGAGATGCTATTTTATGCTGGTATTCTGTGAGAGCGTGGTCCTTCCCCAGTCGAGCCAACCCATTCGTGCTACAACTATACTATTAATATAACTGCAGCATAGCTCTACCACGTAAACTGCAGCATGGCTCTACCACGTAAACTGCAGCATGGCTCTACCACGTAAACTGCAGCATGGCTCTACCACGTAAAAATATTATCAAGTAACCTTAGTAGTTTATGGATTCCTAATAGTTTACTAAGTAAATTAGACATTTTTTAACTCCTCTAAAAAAATCGAGAAGACTCCTTCATCACACACATGGTTTTCTAGCCAATTTAATCTTTTTCTAGCTACTTTTTTATAAAGAATTTTCTAGCTACTTTTTTATAAAGAATAGGGATGACAAACGAGTATACAATCCACTTGATGGTAATTTTATGTTGTGGCTCTTATATATCTACATCTATCTCCGATTAAGAATCAAAATGCAGATGCGTTGTCACCCTTGCCTAAAGCCGACCCATTCGTGGTACAACTATACTAGTAATATAGCTGCAGCGTAGCTCTACCACGTAAAAACGATACGATGGATTTCAAAAAGTAAAAATATCTAGTTTAAAATCGATCCAGATGATGGTGTATTGAGAAGTTATATTATAAGCTATCTGCCAGTGAAAATCCCATCAAAATCGGTCCAACCGTTTCGGAGATTAGCCGGAACAAACAGACTGACAGGCGGACAGACAGACAGACAGAAACTTTAAAAATTGTAATTTTGTTATTAGCTTCCATATCCATTTAGTAAAAAGCTGTAATTTTGACATTACAAACAGACACTTCAATTTTATTTATTTGTATAGATAAAAAAAGGAAACAGAAAAGCATTTTACAGAAAAGAATATTTCTAAAGACGAATCCCTAAAATATAACATATAAATATCAAGATTACATTCTATTTGGTCCTTTGAGTCTGATATGAAGAAGCGACCTTTGGATATACAGTGTGTACTTCTCTAAAATGACGTTTTTTTTTCATAGGATAGGGTGACAAACGAGCACACAGTCCACCTGATGGTGAGTGGTTGCTGTAGCCCATAGACATCTATATCTATCCTCAATAAAGACTCAAGATGCAGATGCGTTGTCACCCGTCTGGACTAAGATGGAATGCCTCTTCGCCAGTAAAAAAGGGTCGTCGGTTCTCTACACTCACCATACGAAACACAGCAGCGTTAAGCTGCTATTTTACTGTGATGGTATGGGATGATATTTTGTGAGAGCCTGGTCCTACCCCGGTCGAGCCGAGCCATTCGTGCTACAACTATACTACTAATATAGCTGCAGCGTGGCTCTATACACGTAAAAATACCATGTACTTAATTGATATTCTTATATTCACAGCATAAATGCTATACTTTAAATATCTATTACTAGCAACTCGCCCCGGCTCAGCCTTGAAAGGATCTATTAATGTAGCCTCCTTGAATTTTTTGAAATTGCGGTTTTTCTAATAAAATATATTCTCTATCTGTCCGTAAAGTTTCATCGCAATTGGTTCAGCCATTCCGAATATTATTCCGGAAAGATTAAAGAAAAAAAAAAGTTATAAAATGGTTATATATGTTACTACCATATTACTACCCACGTTACTGGAAAAGAGGCATTCCATCTTAGTCCTCACGGGTGACGACGCATCTACATTTTGATTCTTTATTGAGGATAAATGTAGATGTCTATTGGGTCACAGCAACCACTTACCATCAGGTGGACTGTGTGCTCGTTTGTCACACTATCCTATAAAAAAAATATATCTCTTATAACCTCTAAGCTTAATAGTTGCTTGTTATTTGAATATTACAGATTGACGGTTTAATATAATTTATGATACACTGACATGGTAACAAAGCTTTTACTTCGAAACCATATTCATCTACAATTAGATAACTTAATTACAGGCGCAAGATCCAGTCTTCTTTGAATTTGTGTAATTAATGATTGCAATCTAACTTTTCTTTCGTGGGAACACTACATGCAGAACATCTGATAAAACGTTGTATTGTTATTTTATCCGTATTTTAAAGTACTTAATACATTTATTTATTAATTCATTACAGTCTTTCGAAAATCTGCTAGTGAGCTTCTTCCACTACTGATGGCTTTCTCATAGATTGCCTTAATGTAATACTGGTATAACTTATATACCCATTCAATGTTATTTTGTTATACAGAGCATATCGAATTGTACGGAAATTAAAATTTACTTGATTAAAATTACTTTTCAATTAAACTATACTCTATGGTGGAAAAACACTACATAAAAAAAAGAATAGTGGACTCAATAGTCTGTTATGTTTTTACACTACTCTATGCACTTTTAGACGCCCATTACACGGTAGGTTTTGCTGTCAGTTTTACAACAATCACGGTTGTGATTGACGAATAACCTATCGTGTAATGTAGTTATTGACAGTTGCATGAAATTGATTGACAAATATCTGGATATTTTGATTTTTACGTCAATCAACTATTCAGTCACGAATTTTGATTGAACGTGTAATGGCATTTCATCAATCACGCGTCAGTCAACGCTCAGACAGCAATGGAGGCGGACGCAGAATATATTGAAGAGGCGGGTTTCACGCGCTCGCGCAGTCCGTCGCCACTCCCGCCAAATGTGCTTCAGCCAGAAAAAGACTTTATTTTAAATTTTGAGGCTCTCCCCGAGTTGTGGGACACGAAAAACCCCGGGTAGGTTGGATGCCCCTAATACCAGCCACGCCCCTAATTCCAGCCTTTCCGCCTTTTTACTTCGTAAATAAGATTTCTAGTAGTCTTAACTACAAATATGGTCGGCTAAAAATTCTTCGTAATTAGAGGAAAGTATATTTCAAATATTACCTCACAGTTTTAAACCTAACAGTATTAAATTAAAAATCAAAACATAAGCATATT